TGCCAGTATGACAAATAACATGAGCAAAAAAGGAGTTATATCTAGAGGCTGCAAGGATTCCTTATCTTAAACTTGGCTTTTAATAATGATTTTTCTTCAGAACTAAAGCCCACTTTCCCAGAAAAAAAAAAATCAAATAAAGCTCCTGAATTGCTCCACCCTCGATCAAATTAAAATGAATGGCATACATGTCTTTTAGTTGCAGGGTTCTCTTCCACTGACCACTATACGTTAAGATCTTCCAATGCTTCTAGTAAGCAGTCTGAGACAATTGAATTATAAGAAGTTGAATTCAATTTATAAAATAATTGAGAAGCTGCTGAGATAAAATATTTCTTCCTTATATTGTTCACATGAAAAATGTGTTCCTGAAATAGAATTCACTTCATAATTATTCAGTCTTTTTTATTTTCCAGTCCATAATATCACTTTATTAAGATTCATGTAAACTAAATACTCATAATATGAGAAATACACATTTCTTGTTAGCGTCATTCTCCCCTTGTTCTGCCATTTGTGATCAGCATCCTTTCATTATTTTATTATTGTAACATTCATTTTATGTGCTTTTTTAAGGCTGTTCCTTCAAGTCAGTACCTTTCTTCCAAACATTCTTGATATTCCTCATTGCTGCTTAAATCACTAGCAGAAAAATAACGAACCATCAAGAATATCAGTCGTCCTGGCAGGTTTTTGGCACATATGAAGATTCTATGTGTATATTTTGAATCAGTCCATAACAGCTGAAAGATTAATGCATGTTTCTTATGAACACTTACTAACTATATGTAATCAGATGACTTTTTTAAAGAAAGCTGTTGAGAAATAATGCAGCTTCTACTTTCAGACTATTTCTCCCTGATAAAGTATTAGCAAGAACTGAAAACATTAAACTGAGAATGTTAAACAAGTAGATTCCATGCATGCCATGAATTAGGACTGTGAAAATTATTAGGAGCAGTACTTCATTTGCAACAGTGCTGTGGATGAAGTATTGTTTCCTGAAATGTCAAGGTGGTGATGTCCTCTTGCTGCAGCTCTAGTGATGTAAAGGAATGTAGAGATGAAATTGGTGAGGAGCTGTTGAACGAACTGTTAAAGGAGAAGGAACAGTAACTCAGTTTTGAGAAGTGGAAAGTGTTGATCAACCCAAACTTGACTTTGTCTAATATACAATAGGGCAGAGTGAAACAGCTCTTGAAGGGCTGACGTCATCTCTCTACCTCAAAGATGTAGACCAGATCAAGAAACAAGACACTGCAGGGATTCCAGGAATATTACTGTATGTTGTAGGCTACAATGACAGAATCTTGAAAACCTGTCAGACTTTCTTTCTGCCTCATCTTATACCAGACAAAATCAAGTCACACTATTTTGAGTTTCTTTCTCATGGTTTTCAGTTTTTCAGAACTGACTTTTTGTTTTTCCTCCCTCAGTATTTCACTCCTTCCTTCCCCAGGGTCTTTTTTTACATTCCTTTACAAGTGAAAATATGGATGTTCCAGTGAAAATGCACACATAGTGGCCTGACCATATATGCAAATAATCTCATTGCCATGAGTGAAATATTTCACTCATGGCAACGCTAAGAGTGAATCATCCTTTCAAATCATTTGCACAGCTTTATTTGAAATATTCATCCTCATTTACTTAGGATGATGTAAGACATGAAAGTACAATTCCAACTATTGCTAATAGAATCATTAGAGGGTCTTAGATATATTATATTAAAGGTTCAGGGTAAGTTTAAGCTGGATGGGGGCAAAAGGGATCTAAAACACCACTAACACGAGAAAGATTCAGCTACTGCTTTTTGATACTAGAAATGTAGCAGATAAGTGGTCACAGTGATATTTTCTGGTCCTCAAACAGACAAATGATATATTATTTGCAAAGTTTGAGGCACATTGTATTCCACATGTACAGTATCTGTGCAGAGGAAACTCTTCTGTGAAAGCAAGGAATGACAGGCTAAATCCATAAATAAGCTGTTATCTTAGGGTGCAAGATTTTTTTATACTCTATAATGTAGATGATATGATAAAGAACAGAATTCTAGAAGTATAGCAGTGAACAATTGCAGAAGGACAGTTTGACTTTGGGTGTTGCAAAGTTTATAAGAGTTCGTGCAATGGCAAAACCTCAGATGCAAACCCTATAGGACAAAGGAGAAATGTATGTAGTTTGCAAACAGCATGTCCACAGCAACCAACTAGAATGTCAGTACAAAGTCAGTATGCATATACTTGAGTTGTACATAGGAGACATTTCAGAAAAAACAGTTCTATTTTCATAGCCCTAAAATGAAAACAGTAAACAGATTAAAACTGAATAAGAAGAGTTAAAGAGATGAAAAGTAATGCAATCCTTTTCACATGTCTTTACAGGATTAGAATATATATCAAATTTGGGTCACTTCGAAAGCAGATACTGCATCACAAATTAATGTGCTTAGGAAGGAGTTACAGTACAGCAAATATAGTGATAATCCATACAAAGTCCATACTGGCTCAGTATGACATAATGAGAAGTTGGTCTCAGTTCACAGACCTCAATATAGTTCAGTAGGATATGGAACATTTGCCATGAATGGGGATTTAAATATGAGCATCAGGTCATACTTTCTAGAAATATTGATTACATATTGATAAAAATATATTCATTCATGAAAAACATGCTTAGAAAATGATAACACAATAGTCGGGATGAAAATTTGGATAATAAACTAAAGAAACATACTTACATTAAGTACAGCATTAAGTGCAGCATTATAATTGCAAGCAAATCACAATTGCCAGTCAGGCTGCTGGATAAATACTACCACTACTACACTAACAGAACCCCAAGAAAAATCAAACAAAAGACATGACTCAAAGAAAGGGAATCTATTGCTACTACAAACATGGCAAGAAGAAAAAGATGGCAAGAAGAAAAAGAAAAAGCCTGACATATCTCTTTGTCCAATTGTATCGTTACCAGGGACCCCAAATACAACATAGCCAAAAAACTTACAAAAATTTTGGACATCTCACAGAGTGGAGTGAATATTATATCAACTCCCCATTACACTGCCTCCAGAAAATCAAAGACCTAAAAATAGAAGATGAAATTATGTTTTCATTCAGTGTCATAGCACTCTTTATGTCAATAGATCCAGAACTAGTGAAATAATCCATGGCAGCAGTACTACACAACACATCCGCCTGAGCCAAATACACTAGCCAAATACACTAAGATTGAAATATCCAGAATCGTGGACCTCATCAACCTTTGCCTCACTACCTACTTTCAGTTTGGTGGACAAATGTACCAACAAATCAGAGAAGCATCCATGGGATCACCACTCTCAGGATTCGTAGCAGAGACTGTAATGCAGCGTCTAGAAACTATGGCACTCCCACAGATACAACCAAAAGTATGGATCCAGTATGTAGACAACACCTTCAACCTAATAAAAGGAACAACTAGAGAAGACACATGAAACAATTAACAATTTCTTCAAAGGAAAAAAATTCACACTGGAATAAGAAAACAACACATTACCCTTTCTGGATATCCTGATCAGCAGAAGAAATGATGCAAATTAGAAACACAAGTCTATTGAAAAATAACCCACACTAACCAAGTGCTCCATTACCAAAGAAATAATCCAACCTCCCACAAGAGAAGCTGTTTAAGAACATTATTCAAATGAGTACAAGCAATTGCAGAAACCCAGAACACCAAAAACAGAAAACAGACGGCTTATGCAACATCTTCCAATACAATGGATACTCACACAACTTTATTAAAATGTGGCTGACCACTCAACCCACTACAGCACAGCCAACACAAGCTACGAAAAGGATAACACTACCATACATCAAAAACATATCAGAAACAACCAACAGACTATTACAACCACACAGCATCACTGTAGCACACAAACCAACTAAAGCCCTCCAAAACATCCTAAGTAAACCAAAAGACCCAGTAGCCCAAGAAGAAAAAACAAGAGTCATCTACAACATGCAGTGTAAGGATTTTACCAGCCACTGTTTAGGACAGACAGGCAGAAGACTAGCAGAGCGCATCCATGAACACCAACTAGCAGTCAGAAGACACGATGAAACCTCCTTAAGC